CTAATTTTTTGTAGCTCTATTTTATATCCTAAATAATTAATAGAATCTCCTCTTTGTATCTTTTCAGGAGCAATTTGTAATCCCCAGCAAGGCAAAATTTTCTTTACTTCTTCAAACATTCTTTCTAAAGTATCTGCATTTGAGTCAGCTAGTAAAATATCATCCATATAATGATAAATTATAGATTTAGGAAATTTTTTACGTATCACTTCCAATGGCTGTTGTACAAAATATTGGCACAGAGTTGGGCTATTCAACATTCCTTGTGGGAGGACTCTCCATTGAAATCTTTTAACCGGTTGAGAATTATTGTAAGTAGGCACTGTGAAAGCAAATCTTTCTCTGTCTTTTTCTTGTAAGGGTATTGAAAAGAAACAGTCTTTTAAATCAATAACTATGAGAGGCCATCCTTTTGGTAACAGAGTAGGCAAAGGAATTCCAGATTGTAGAGAGCCCATTGGCTGAATTACTTTGTTAATTGCTCTAAGGTCTGTTACCATTCTCCATTTACCAGATTTCTTCTTAATAACAAATACAGGAGAATTCCAAGGGCTGGTTGATTCTTCAATATGCTGAGCATTTAACTATTCTTCTACCAGCTCTTCTAAAGCCTGGAGTTTCTCTGTTGTTAAAGGCCATTGCTGGACCCATACAGGCTTGTCTGTTAACCATTTTAAAGGTAGAGCTGTTGATATCTTTGGAAGATCATCAGTTGTAGTGCCCTGTTCTTGTATAATATGGATGGCTGGTGACCACTCAGAATAATGCCTTCTAATATTTCTCTCAGAAACATGTGCTAGTTTATGATTTGTTTCTGAGATTGGAGGGATGTTAATCTGAGTATTCCATTGTTGTAACAAGTCTCAACCCCACAGGTTCATAGCTATGTTAGCCACATATGGTTTTAATTTTCCTCTCTGTCCTTCTGGACCTATACATTCGAGCCATCTTGCACTCTGTTTCACCTGAGATAATGTCCCAATTCCTAACAGTTGAATGTTTACCTCCTGAAGAGGCCAAGTTGGATGCCAAAATTCTGGTGCAATTATGGTAACGTCCGCACCTGTGTCTACCAGACCAGACAACAAAACACCATTTATTTTTATCGATAATTTTGGTCTTTGTTCATTAATAGAAGTTTGCCAAAAAATTTTCTTTATGTTTTCTCCTGAATTTTCTATTCTCTCTGTTTCATCATCCTGACCAGCATGACTTATTCCAATAGGCATTTGGTTATTTAATTGCTCTGAGTAGGAGTTTCCTCTACGACTGCAGGAAAGGTTTGAACTGGATTTGCTATTGGGGCCTGCATGAGGCCTCTCTGGGAGTTTCCCGAAGACTGAGGCAAAGGATTACCCTGTCTGTCCCTTGTTGATCTACACTCGTTGGTCCAGTGTTTTCCCTTACCACACCTTCTGCATACTCCAGAAGGAAGGGGCAGTCTGTTGCCATTGTTCCTTGAAGAAACATTGTTTCTAGGAATGACCTGTTTACAGTCCCTTTTCAAATGTCCTTGCTTTCCACATCCAAAACATCTAACATTCCTCAAACCTTTTGAAATTGCTTCTCCTACCCACGTATCATCATCCTCATGAGCTTCAACATTAACCGTGTCTCTAATCCAATCTTCCAAAGGTGCAGATCTTGCCTTTAATGGCCTGATTATTGTTTTGCATGCTGCATTCGCATTCTCAAAGGCCAAAGATTCAATTATTATCTTACTAGCTTCTGAATCCAGGACCATTCTCTTTACTGCTGAAGCCAGTCTTTGTAAAAAATCTGTGAAAGATTCTTTTGGGCCTTGTACAACCTTTGTAAATGACTCAGTTTTTTTTCCTGGTTCCTCAACTCTGTCCCATGCATTCAAGGCTGCTGTTTGACATAAAATTAGGGTTTGGACATCATATAAACATTGTGCTTGTGCTGAAGCATATTGACCTTCTCCAATAAGCTGATCCTGGCAGACTTGTATTCCTTTATCCCTCCACTGTTTTTCTATGTTTTTAGCTTCATCCTTGAACCAAGTTAGCCACTGAAGCCTTTGACTGGGTTCAAGAACAGCTTGTGCCAGCTCCCGCCAATCCTGTGGTACAATCCTATTATATGTTGACCAAGAGTTTAACATTTGCTTTACATATGGGGAATGCATGCCATAAGATACTATTGCCTCCTTAAACCTTTGTAAATCTAACATTTCAATTGGAGCCCAAATATTTTGTGTAGTCATTTGATCAGGCAACTGCTGTACGGTTACTGGACAAACTAAGGGTGACTGTGTAAACACAGGCTTTCTTTCTGTAACCCTATGATCCAATCTTGAAGCAACTTCACTGTTAGTTTCTTCTGTCTGAGTTTTTACAGGTTTATCAAGTTTTTCTAAAGCTGTCATCCTGGCACTTAAATTGACTATCTTTTTAAATAGTAAAATAAGAATAAGCATAGTAATAAAATGCATAATTCGGTCAACATTAATCTTCTCATATAGCTGTTCCATTGTCAGACTGTCTAAAATTGCAAACAAAGCCCAATTTTCTTCCAATGAACACAGAAAACCCATTTTTTTTTTAAATGTGGAAAAAAATTTCTCTTTTAAATAGTTTCCTTTAAAATATTCGATATGTTAAGTGACTTACCAAGTCCTCGTAGAACAGTACCAATCCGAGGGAATTTCAAAACAGCCTCCTAGTGTCCGAGGTGTGAATCCAGAGAGAGAGAGAGAGAGAGAGAGAGAGAGAGAGAGAGAACACGCAAGAACCGTAGCCACAAGTTCTACCTAAGAACTTGAATCCAGCCACGTGTTCCCGCTTGAGCCTAGTCAAGCCTTGGCTCTGGCTACCTTAAGCTCCAACCACGTGCGTTGGCTTATAGGCAGGGGCCCTGTTCGGCAGGGCAGGCCTGGATTGTCTGTAGCACCGGCTTTAAGCAAGTAGCTCAAAGTTAGTCCGGCCTGAGGCCAAGCCGACCTGGGCCCCGGGCTAGGGAGCCGGCCACCCTGGCGGAAAACGGGACCTGCGGGCCGCCCAGGCGGGAGACCGGACCTGCCGCCAAGCCAAGTTAAGCGTTTTTTAATGGATTCTTGTCACGTTGGGCGCCAAATGTGGTCTTATCAAATAAGAAACACAGAGCCAATTCAGAGAAGAAAACCAAGAGGTCAGAGCTAAGAGCCTCACCCTTCCTGATTCAGGGATCCTCTCCAGCCAAGAGAGCTCTCCGAAAAGGACCTACTTCCTGTGTGTCTGTCTTTAAAGTCTTCCTGTTCTGCCTTCTCATTGGTTGTAAACCCAAACATGTGACTGCCACGTCACTGCCTGAATGTACCGCCCTCCAGGTCCTTAAAGGCGTGCGCCACCGCCGCCACGCACTTGCTATGACTCTAATAGCTCTGACCCCCAGACAACTTTATTTATTAGATACAATTAAAATCACATTTCGGTATAAGTAAAATACCACCACAATAAAGTTGTGCCCAGCTTTTAATATGGGTATTGGAGGTCCTTTACAGCAAACACTTTACCAGCTCTACAGATTTCTAGAAGTAGACCTTTTGATGACTGTTTTGTAATGCCTGAGCACCACCCTGTGCTAGGGAAGTTTAGGGTGAGCCTGGAACATGTGCCAGAAAGTAAAGAAACGCCTTTTAAAAAGAATGAAAAAGAAGATGGGAGCATAGTCATTAGAAGTAGGAGCCAGCCTGAAGTTCTGACTAACCAAATGTTGGGAAATTGGAACCTTGATTAAACAAGTTATTGAAAAAATAGGAGCCAGGTAGTGGTGGTACATGCCTTTATTCCCAGCACTTGGGAGGCAGAAGCAGGCAGATCTGAGTTCAAGGCCAGCCTGGTCTAAAGAATGAATTCCAGGACAGCCAGGGCTAAACAGAGGGACTCTGTCTCCAAAAACAACAACAAAACAACGAAAAAGAAAAAAATAGGAATTTATGATTTATGTTGATTCATAGATGACAGATGTGCCAATAGGTGGATGGGAAAGAAGTCCTAACTGAATAACGTAGATAAAGTGATAAAGTGAGGAAAATTACTAGTTTGCAACAATCACAGTGATTGTTTTAGGCAAGAATTATAAGCAGATGCTCAATAGAGGTAGGCAGGCTGGCATTTTGACAGAGCAGGATTTTTTTCATAGTCTAATTTATCTTCCCACATATCACTGCTCTGGTTACAGGGGCAAACAATAACAAAAATGAACTGAGTAAAAGGTGGAAGATCTTTGGAAGTGGTTGTTCTGTGTATGCACTGGGAAATAGTAAATGTCATTTGTATCATGTTCATATGTATGTGGAATAGATGACCTGAATTCTGTCTTAAGGAAACACTAGACAAACCCAAATGAAGATCATCCGATTTTAAAGTGGCCTGTATTCTTTAAAATGTCAGGTCACAAAAGAGAAGGTTGGAGTAAGATAAAAGAACTAGTCTAGACTAAAGAAAACTAAAGAAGCATGGAAATGAAATGTAAGTGTAATCCACTACTGTATCTTAAAGTAGACGTGAAGAACAACATATAAAATAACATAATAATGACTGTTGTCACTATTAAAATATGGGTGGTAGACTACATTAAATGTATTAATATTAAATTTCTCAAATTTAGTAATTACACTGTGGTAGTGTTAGAGAATGCCCTCTTGTTGGAAAATACACAATGAAGATATAAAGAGAAGGGCTGGAGAGATGACTCAGTAGGTAAGAGCACTGGCTGCTCTTACAGAGGACCCAGGTTCAATTCCCAACACCTACATGGCAGCTCACAACTGTCTGTAACTCTAGTTTTAGGGGATTTGACGTCCTCATATACAGTCAAAACACCAAGCACATAAAAAGAAATAAAGAAAAAAGAGACATGTTTTTGAAACTATCAAATGTGTATGTAGAAAGTGTGATAACAATATGTAGCATGACATTAACAGTTGGGGATTGAAGTGTCTGCTATATAGGAGTTCTCTACTTGAGTCTTACAGCTTTTCTAATTGATATTTTTAGCCCTTTTTAAGGCACAAAACGATGTGATGACTATGAAGATACAGTCAGAGAGACTTTCAAAAGAATATGATCGACTCCTGAAAGAACACTCAGAACTTCAGGTTGGTGACATGTATTTATAGATTTAAAGATTTTTGAAATAATTCCTTAAATAAACTATTTGGATTGCATGCCCTTCACAAATTCAAATAGTGTGCTTAATCCTGGCTTTATTAAATAACCAGAGAAGCCAGATTTATCTAAAGGGTAAAGATTAGGCCATTACAGCCAAATGCAAAATAGCTATAATATAAAGAATTGCTAACATGGTAATTTAAAAATATTCCACATATGGTAAAGTTTTAAAGAAAAGAATTGAGCTATAAAATAACAGCATTAAAAAACTGGTTCTCAGCCGGGCGGTGGTGGCGCACGCCTTTAATCCCAGCACTCGGGAGGCAGAGGCAGGTGGATCTCTGTGAGTTCGAGGCCAGCCTGGTCTCCAAAGCGAATTCCAGGAAAGGCGCAAAGCTACACAGAGAAACCCTGTCTCGAAAAAACCAAAAAAAAAAAAACTGGTTCTGGAAAAATACGTGTTTCACCATCTGGAATGTTTACCATATTTGTACCAAAGTGAGGCCAAATTTTGAAGTTTCATATCACATTACTCCAGTCTTTGTTTTCAGTATCTTAGGGCAAAGAACTATGGCATTCAAATACCAGATTTATACCTCCAAAGTTGTATCATGAATTCTAATTGGTCAGATCGCACTACAAAAGTTGATTTAAAGATGGGGGAAAATCTTGGTTAAAGTAGCTCTCCAATCTAAGCCATGGGTTTTCTTTCTCTGTCTCCAATTTAGCAAGAGTCAGTTCCGAACATTCATCCATATTAGATAGGTTTGTCTCTTTTCTCTTCAGTTGTCAACCACCAACTTGAGTTTATTTCCCAGCCACTCTTTTTTGAGGGGTGCCAGAGATCAAATCCAAGGCCTAGTAAATGATAGGCAAGTGTTGTAGTACATTTTTGGGGCAAGTGTAGGAAGAACTGATATAGAAGCAGCCTTGGCATGTGACAAATGGGCATCATCCCCATGTACTCTGGAATCAGTCTTGGAATACCTGTATCAGTCTTCATGATAGCTTCATAGTAGCTTTATGATCCTAAGAGATAATGTCATCCATCTGAATGAAATTCACTGTCTTCACTATAACACTGAAACAATAATAGTGCCTTGCTCACTGGAGTGTTGAGAGAGCTAAGTAAAATGCAGGGTGCTTGGTACTGTTCCTGGCTGATGTAAATACTTAAGAAACATAGATAGCTGCTAGCTAAGCATGGTGTCACACACCTTTAACTCCAGCATTTAGATCTGTCTCAAAGAAAAGAAAGGAGAGAGGAAAGAAGGAATGAATGAAAAAATAAGAATGAGCTGTCATCATTGTTGTCATCAGTATTACTTCCTTTGTAGTTTTACTAAAAGACTTAGGATGTCTCAAATAGCTGCTTCAGCCTTCAGTTACTCAGTCAAGAAGCAATCTAAAACGTAAATAATCTTGTTCCCAATATGTAATCTAGTCTTGGGACACTAAAGGCTAAATTTATATGGTCTAGAGTAGATGTTTGTTTCCACTGGTAGAGATCCTGAAATTGTTGACCTCCTCAGGGCATGACAAGAACTACTCCATGACATACTCAGCATTCATCATGGGAAGACCTCTTATCTGTCTAAGTAGACTTTACTCCTTCCTATTTGTGAGAACAGGGTCTTCTCAGCCATCATCTTTTCCCACACATTTCGAGAGGAAAGAGTTTGCAAGATACCAGAATTGTTTAGGCCCTTAAATGGAAAAAGGAAAACAAAGAATATACCCTCAACCTTTCAGGTCAGTGTCCATAGCTTAATGTCTCCTTATGGCGACAGTTAATGGTAACAGTTCGATAGCGGTAACTCCTTAACCCTGAAGAATATTTAACAGTTAAGATTTCCTCCAGTCTCCTCACTATCCCCAAAAAAACCACTTTAAGCTTGGAGATTCTTTGTTCTTAGCAAAAGATGTGGAAAGCTTTTGTAGGTATACTCTGCCTAAGAAAATATGCTGCAATATATACAAAAGTAGTTGTACCTGCTTTGGAAAAGAATCCCATCCTAGATAGACTAAGTGCCATGTAGTGCAGATTGGAGCCTTATTGGAGCACATGTAATCCTTAATATCTGTCTGTATTCTGTTTATGAAATACCGACATTTATTCAGTGTGCTCTGGACAAAGCACCTGGCTAATGGTCTTATATATGTGTCAGATTTACTCCCTTGGCAACTCAGCAAGCTAAAATATTTTAGTATCTCTGTTTAGTGGGCAAAGATGTCAAGAATCAAATTTTTTTTTTTTATGTGATTTGCTCCCAAGTTACTGAACTAGAAAGAGCATTTAAAGCTAGGCGTCAAAGTCAGGAAATCTTTCTCCACAACCTCCATCATTAACTGGGTTCTTCAGCCCGTGCTGGTTATCAGTCTGTGTATTCTTGGATCCATTCTCTTTCTACCCCTGCCCTATCCCATGTGGAAACGTACATTTCCAGAACCTTGCTTTCTGTCTCCTGAGCAAATTTAGCTAGTGAGAGGCCACTGATTTCTCCTATTTTCTGTTCTAGGTGACATTTCCTTCCTGGCCTCCAACCCTTCTCTCCCTGGTCACAGTTGCAGTGGCCAGCTTCCATTTGCTGACCTTTACCCATCATCCACTCGCACCCTCTAACCAAGAGTGGTTGTGGTTTGTGCTGTTGCTAATGTTTGGGCTAAACCTTACCACTCTTTTGTGTGCCTACTGTCTTATCACCTGTAATTCTAACTTCCTGAAGTATCTGTTTAAAGGGTTAAGTTGCTCCTGTTGTAACCCTCTGAGTCATTTGACATCCACGTGCCTTGGCTACTTCATCACTTACATGAGAGATAGGGTACCTTAATGAGCACCAAACCAGATCCTATTTCAAAACAGAACTTCAAATATTTTTAAATAGGAAAGTCTCTGTATAGCCATAGCCATAAGATGCTTAGTTGATTTATTACATTTTTTTCCCTATCCACCCACCTAGTCCCCATTGTCCACTATGAAAACCTAAGAAATACGCTGAAATTTAGATGTCATTCCATGGACCCATCTTCTCGCAAGTGACTCTTTAATATTCATAGTCTGAACAAGCAAAAGAGAGTGGAAAACCGTTCTAGAGTATAAAGCTGAATTTAGCTTGTCCTCATGAATTTTACTTCTATTGTCACATCAGTCTTAGTAATTTAATTGTATCCTAAGCTTCCTTGAGAAAACTTAAGCTTTTCTCAATTTTATAAAATTGTGATAGTGTGAATGAAACAAGTATGAACAGTTGTTTAAATGTTAAAATGGTAGAAAAGCTGGTTTCTTTTCCATAATCAAATCTCATTTTGCAGTTTTTAAATACAGCTGGGGCCCCTCCTAGTTAAAAGCATTAAATGAATAGTAGGAAATGGTCCCTTCAAAACATACATAGTCTTTGTTTTTTCTTCTTTGGCCTGGCTGTCTTCTACAAAAGGAAAAAAAAAATGACTAGGTATTATATGCAGCACAAACCATCAACACTTGCTAATTTTTAAATTCATTTTGGAAAATCACCTTTCACATGGGAGATTGCTCTGAGCGTAATAGCATTTTTATTAAAACTTTGATTTATATCTAAAGTGGTCATGTATGTATAAAAGTGTAGAAGTAACATGTCATTCAAAATATCTCCTCTCATACTATCTATTTAATTGCTTACTGTTCTTATAAAAGTGTTAATACTCAGCCTTAACAAGAGGTAGTGGGCTTTCTGTGTAAAAGCAGTAACATTCTGCAGTTCCATTCTCTGAGATTTCTTTCTTGATATAAACATTTACTTTCTTAATCCAACTCTACTTTTAAGGTTAATTCCTATTTCATATCTCATTGTTTTTTGTTTTACTTTCCTTCATCTTTTCCTTGCCAAAAATCTTAATTGGGTCTGCCATAGGGGAATTTGAAAAATTTTGTTTTCCTGGGGTAACTGTGAAATGAGAGCAAAACAAATTAATATGTGAAAAAAATGAACTTATCAGGAGACTTTACTTTCCCCGCCTCTGAATATTTTTTCAAACAAAACTCAGATTTTATAGTGTTTTCATTTTTTTTACTTTCTCAATCCATATTTTAAATTTTTAATTCTCTAAAAACTGGACAAAAGACAAATTTTTATAAGTCATTGTGTCTATGAACTTGTTTATTAATCTATCTTTTTGTTGTTGTTGTTGTTACAGAACCGTTTAGAAAAAGACAATAAGAAAGGCCTGTGAATTAACTTCGTAAAAGAAGATTGTGATCCACCTTGTCAAGAAAATAAATTTGTTATCATGGTAGTCACTAAAACTTTCAAAATTCAGCCAAAAATTAAAAAAGGCTCTGTTAGCAGCCAGCCAGCGGTGCACATCGGCTGTATAATACTGATGTTACCAAGCTTTTGAAAAATACAAGCATGTTAAATGCCATATTTACATATTGCTAATAGCATTTGTATGTGGTGACTCTTTACCCATAAGAGGAAACATTCATTAGCCATTTACTTCCCAAAATGGATCTGAAGTTGCATGAAACCATTATTAGCCTTGAAAGCTTTGATGGGTTTTCAGTAATGATCAGTGGTGGTGGTGAAAATGATGTTTGAAAGTAGTACTCAGTCAGAAAATTTGTTCATGGGGAAATAAGGATAAGTAACCACATAGCCACTGTGTTTATATAAGAGAGTCAGAACAGTGCAAACAATGGCCTTAGGGTTTCTTAAGCCTGGTAAGTCTATGATTTACTGTACATACGACAACACTGTTGTGAGCTGTGTTTTTGTCACTGGGCTTCTGTACCTATTCGACTGTTTTTATTGATACGTTTAGTCATAGAATTAATATTCTACCTTTTTTTTTCAATATTCTACCTTTTTAAGTTCATCTAGTAACAAAATTTATGTCCATTAGTGTAACTGTCATAACATTGAACTGAACTTACATTGCGTTGTGGAATTCTCCACTTACATAGCTCATTTATGACATCCAAAAAGCTGTGTATTTTATGCTTGTGAAAGTTACTGATTATACAGGTATTACCTCAGTAAACATGTTCTATGTTTTCAAACTTAAATGCTGGTTTTCTTGCAAATATTCATGTAGAGGTAGTAATTACAGTAATATGATTTAGATTATTTCAGTGTTTAACTATGAAAAGCCACTTTTCTTAAAATGACTTAAATATAAAAAATAAAATAATAGAGTTTTTACTTCTCTAGTCTTTGTTTTATCTCTTGTTGCTCATTATAATTTTAATGCCAATTTCAGATAAAGGTAGGAGTTAGTGTTAGTTTTACGTGGTGCTGTTTACCCTACTAGGAAAAATCACGAGTCACAACAAAATCCACTATAAGAGTTTATTAGGCCTGATGGTGGTGGTACACACCTTTAATCCCAGCACTCGAGAGGCAGAGCCAGGAGGATCTCTGTGAGTTCGAGGCCAGCCTGGTCTACAGAGTGAGTTCCAGGCACCAAAACTACACAGAGAAACCCTGTCTCGGGAAAACAAAAAAAAAGAGTTTATTAGGAAAAGGGACGGATAGGAGAGGGTGTGCTCAGGCCTGTTTGAGAGACATGTGCAGAAGAGAGGGGAGGGTACATGGGATCGGCCTTTTATGAACTCCCCCGCACATGCGCATATGGGCCCATGTGGCTACACCACTCATGCACATAGATTATGTGATCATGCTGCGCACAAATTACACGACCACACAGTGCACTGATTATGTAGGACATACGGCCCCAGAAATGACTAGACAGAAATGACTAGGTGTCTGGCCAGTGCGTGCACAGTCATGGGGGTGTGGCTAGAATTCCTATCATCGGGACTCTTTGTTCTTATAAAAAGATAGTGGATGAGTGGGAATGGGGGCATCGTGTCTCCCAAAACTGCTTCCAGCTGACTTGGTAGGTGCCGGTTAACTCTTGGGGAGTTGGGAAGGGGCCTTCTGAGATAGCCAGATGTCCTGGGGTAGTGGATTGTTGTCTGCTGCTTTGGAGTCGTCCATCATCTTTCTCGGCTTGGGACTCTGTGGCTGTTTGGGTCTGAGAGGGTACTGGTGAGACAGAGGAAGCTTAGAAAAACAATTTTACCTTGGGGGGCTCCCAGGGTGAGGGAGGGGGTCCCAGAACCAGGAAAGTTTGGGTTATACTTATCTGAAGTAGATCCAACCTGTCCAGGTGGATTCAAGCTGGTTCTGGAGCTCAGAAGAACTTTTAAACATATTAAAAACAGCCACGGGGAATTCAAAATCTTGACCTGGTAGCCATGATACTGTAATGTTTAGTACTCTGCTATCAAAATTTTATTGGTTAGTGTTAGCAAGAGTAGAGAAAGAGATTTGGAACATGCTTTTAATTTTTACCTGAGATAAGTCTTATCAGAGACAGATTTTAAGGCACCTGTTTCCTTTACTAGTTTAGCATCCAGGAGACACAGGTGATCAATTGTTCAGAGCATTTAACAGTAATAGATTGTTATATTAAAGTCTGTTTTTTACAGAGTCCAGACCCTTTTGGGTCTGGGGGTGTAAATACCTCTGGACTGTTACTGTTCCTTCCCGCCTGGGTATATTTGATGGTCCTTGGCCTCTGGCTCTATGGTGATCCTGTAATGATTAGCTGAATAGTTAATTAGGAGACGGAACCAGAAAGGAAGAGCTTGTGGGGTGAGACCTCATTCTTCTGGAATTGGTGACAAGGCAGTGGATCCTGATGTCCTCTGGAACTTGAGAGAACAGGGCCCTGTCTGTGTCACTGTGTATGAAGTGAGATTTTTCTGGGGTGAGGGTGAAATGAAAGGCTTCAGGTGGGACAGGTAAATCCAGTGAGGAAAGCCCTCAAGCTTAACAGCTGTGGGGGTTACAAGAATTACCTTGAAGGGTCCCTGCCATTTAAGGGAAAGGGGTGAGGGGTGCTGGCCTGGAGAAGAAAGGAGAACCTGATCCCAATGTGGATTGAGGGTGGGCATGAATTACACATGGCTGAGGTAAGGAATGGTCTGCGAAATTCCACAGGATAGACAGACGATGACGGAGTAGGAGAGTCAACAGATTGTCTGGGAGGGGTGGAGGTCAGTGTTAGGGCCGGTCTCCCATACATCAGTTCAAATGGAGAAATTGAGAGAGGCCTCTTGAGAAGGGCTCAGAGCCTAAAAAGAGCTAGAGGCAATAATTTTACCCAGTTAAGGTGAAGTTCCTGTGACATCTTAGTAAGAATGGATTTTAAGGACCAGTTGGTGCACTCCACCTTTCCTGAGGACTGAGGACTGTATGGGATATGAAAATGCCAAGGAATATTAAGAGCCTTAGCTAGTGTCTAGGAAATCTGGGAGGTGAACTCCCATACCATTATCATACTGAAGAGAGGCAGGAATCCCAAATCGAGGAATAATTTCCTGGAGAAGGAGATCTGCAACTGTCTGAGCCCGCTTATTAGAAACAGGGTATTGCTGTGGGATGTTCTGTATGGCAAATGTGTTGCTGATTGGTCAATAAATAAATCACTGATTGGCCAGTGGCCAGGCAGGAAGTATAGGTGGGACAAGGAGGAGAATAAAGCTGGGAAGTGGAAGGCTGAGTCAGAGAGACACTGCCAGCTGCCACGATGACAAACAGCATGTGAAGATGCCGGTAAGCCACGAGCCATGTGGCAAGGTATAGATTAATAGAAATGGATTAATTTAAGCTGTAAGAACAGTTAGCAAGAAGCCTGGCACGGCCATACAGTTTGTAACCAATATAAGTCTCTGTGTTTACTTGGTCGCGTCTGAGAGGCTGTGGGACTGGCAGGTGAGAGAGATTTGTCCTGTCGGCCAGGCAGGAAAACTCTAGCTACAAATGGTGTCCAACGTGTTGGCAAGAGTTTCCACCTAAAACCTGAGAAAAGATTCTAAAACGGAGCTAAAAACAGCTTCCTAATTGTCTCTCTCAAATGAGGGGCAGCTGCGGGTTTGAGCTACTGGTGGGTTCCTAGCATGCATGCTCGACCTGCAGTATGGTGGGAATGAGGCCTCTGCAAGTGGCACATTAAGCTGCGTGGTGGATTTAGCCTTTGCTAGTACAAAACAAAAAAAGAGGTTTCTGGGCTACACGCTGCTTGGATAAAAGCATAGACCCACGATAGCTCCCAGAGCTGGTGGTAAACCACCGCCATGTTGGGAAGCTGAGGTGGGCGGAGCCAGCAGCCTCAGCTGCTGCAGTTTAAAGCAATAGATTCACAATAAGACAGATTCAGATGTAATAGTTTACAATGTGTGTAAAATATACGTAGGCTTAAAAGAGACAAAAAAGGTGATATATACAGTTATAGAAACAAATACATAGTTTTAAAAAATAAAGTCTTTAAAGAGATAGTAAAACTAATATAAAAAATAAAGATGGATATTACACAGAGAATCTGGATTGTGTTGTCTTTGGGATTTTTAACTGCAGAAAAACATTTGATTGTAAAAGCTGTTGAGTTATGCCAAAATGTATATTTTAAAGGTAACTTGACTTCAAAATTTGGATATAAGGATATGTTGCTTTGGAAAGGAGACTCTGCTTTTGTTCCCACAGAAAGCCGGAGGCTATGGATTTGTTCCAGATTAAGATACATCAGGTTTGACCAGCCAAGACCCCCTGAAAGGTCTCTGATGACACCATGGCCCAGATGATCCAACATCCATAATGGTTTGAAGGCAACTGGCTCAGACAATACAGCCTCATGGACTATTCCATAATCCTAAAATTTTCTTTGTGTCCCCATGAGATACAGCGCCCCCCTCCAGCAGGAAGTAGTAAGAGAAGCTACGCCCAAATTCCCAAATTATATGCAATTTTACTTTGTTAAGGTTAAAACCTTCCTTTTTGAAAAAAAAATGGGGGAAGTGCTGTGGGATGTTCTGTATGGCAAATGTGTTGCTAATTAGTCAATAAATAAATCACTGATTGGTCAGTGGCCAGGCAGGAAGTATAGGCGAGACTAACAGAGAGGAGAATTGAGAGAACAGGAAGCTGGGTGAGAGAGACACTGCCAGCCCCCACGATGACAAACAGCATGAGAAGATGCCGGTAAGCCATGAGTCACGTGGCTTCCATAGATTTATGGAAATGGATTAATTTAAGCTATAAGAACAGTTAGCAAGAAGCCTGGCACGGCCATACAGTTTGTAACCAATATAAGTCTCTGTGTTTACTTGGTTGGGTCTGAGCGGCTGTGGGACTGGCAGGTGAGAGAGATTTGTCCTGTCGGCCAGGCAGGAAAACTCTAGCTGCAGGGTATGCCTCCACCCAATTTGAAAATGAGTCCACCATCACGAGGAGATATTTAATTCTTCTGACAGTGGGCATATGGGTAAAATCGAGCTGACAGTCAGTCCCTGGAAGCGAACCTCTA